GAAAAACTATTTCACTAGGAGGGTGGTGAAACACTGGAATGCGTTACCTAGGGAGGTGGTGGAGTCTCCTTCCTTGGAGGTTTTTAAGGCCCGGCTTGACAAAGCCCTGGCTGGGATGATTTAGCTGGGAATTGGTCCTGCTTTGAGCAGGGGGTTGGACTAGATGACCTCTTGAGGTCCCTTCCAACTCTGATATTCTATGATTCTATGATTCTATGATAGGTGCAAGTCCTGCCCTCATCTAAAGGCTCCTCTACCAGCCTAAGAGGAGAAACTACTGAACCCAGGTCTCAACTGAAGTTGGGGACAATTGATGAATAACAACAATGGGAGTGAGGGTAAGGTTGCCAACTCTGACTGAAGCTATTCTGGGAGATTTTTTTTCCAACAAGACATAATGTCATTTCTTAAAATATCCTATTAAAATCTCTGGGATTGCTTTCAAGTCACCGGGAGATCCATGTCAATTCCTGGAGACTCCAGGCCAATCCTGGAGGGTTGGCAACCCTAAGGGAAGGTCACAGGGTCAAAAGCAAGGAACCAGAAGGAGACACTGAGCAGAGAATACCAGACAGCTTCCACTGTTCCGCAAAGGCATCCAGGAAGCCAGTGGACTTAGCCCTGAGAAACACTGCTCAGACATGTGATCTGAGGGAGGAGTAGAAATAGGCCCCACAGTCACAGAGCACCTCCCCATCCAGCATCCTCCTCTTGATATGGTGAATGGCTACCTTGGCCAGCGCCAGGAAGAGGTTGATGAGGAGGTCTCATGACTTTGTGGGGCAACAGCTGGGCTGTGCGTAAATCAGGAAGTGCAGAGAACAGTGCAGCCATAACCTAAGGAGAAGCCAGAAAAGGGGCTGTAGCCTTGCACACTCAAGATAGATGTGCACTGGGGTCTCCCTCATGCCACACAAGGGGCAAGAAAGGTGAACTGCAACAACGACATGCCCATGCTCATGGCTCCATGAACGAGCTGCCAACTAATATCCCCAGAGGGCCACAAGACCAATGTGGAATACAGACTGGCCCACCAGAGTTCCTCACCCTCCACTGGTGGTAGGAGGTCCCACCACTCGGTGGCAGGGTTGGACACGAGGGTGAGGAAATGAAAGGTGTGGAGCACAAGCATGTACAGCTGTGCATTTTCTCTTCTTTTCTTTTTTTTAAATCAGGGTAGTACACAAAGACCCCAATCAGGATTGTTAGGTGATGTACAAAAATATGAAGGCCTGGTCTCTGCTCCAAAGAACTTTCAGTCATAGTAAGTCTTAATGATTAAGGCCGTGATTCAGCATGATTCTTAAACATTTTACCCAACTTTAGGCACATAAATGAAGCCAAGGTGACTTCTCACATGCTTAAAGATAGGAAAGTGCTTACACACTTTACTAAATTAGGGCCTAATTCAATACCATGTAATTTCAGGCACTTATCCTGCCAACATCATGCATGTGAGTAATTTTACCTACAAGAATAAAGGGCACTACTCATGTGTGTGTTTGCAGAATGGGGGCCTTGTTTATACAGAATCTTTCATACAAATTTTGGGGGATATTCTCAGTGGGTGTAAATAAGCATAGCTTCATTGACTTCAATTAAGCTATGCCAATTTATAACACCTGATGAACGTGACCAATTCATACCAGCTAATGAACTGGACCATTATCTCAAAATGCTTTGCAGAGTTAAACAATAAATAAAAGCACATGGTCTAGCAGGGAGGAATGGCAAAGATATAAAACATAAGTTCAAGGTTGAAAAGGATGATTTCTGATGAGGTTCGAAATGAGATGGGGAGTGGATGACAAGGAGAGAGAAAACATGTATGTTCCAGATGTAGGCACTGCAAAAGAGAGATTTTTTCCTTTTAATGTTCAACAGATTTTTTCACTGGTGATGAACTCCTTGTCACCCTGAAAAGATTACACAATATCTTAGTTCTTACCCTCATTAAAGCCATGGCAATTTTGTCTTACAATCAGGACAAATACAAAACATCCTGCCCTAAAATCTGCAGTCCTCATTATCAAAACACATTGCCACAAATATCCCCAAAGAGGGTGACTGGGGATCACCAGATAGGCAGGATCCCACCAGCTACTCATCTCAGATTCTGGAACCTAAAAAGAGCTCTGGATAACTCCAACTGCACTGTTTCATACTGTGCTTCTTTGTAAGTTGTTAATTGTTATCTGTGTGTGAATATTACCTTATATATGTTAATAAAAACAACTGTAGAAAAGTCAGATGGCACTTAATTTAAAAGATTATCCTTTTTATAGTTTCTCTTTTGGATAGTCTTGTAGAATAAACTGGACAATGCTACAGATTAAAATAGAAAATTAGATTCTTTCTATCTATTTCTATTTAATTTATAGAAAGGATGTCATTCTGTATCAACAGTTTCTATTTTTTTATGTTTTCTATAAAAATGTACTGGTTTACTCTCTATTAAATTCTGGGGCCTTCATCCTGCAATTGATAGCACACAGGCATTTATAATATGGGTCAATGGGGCTCTGTGCAGGAGCAGCAATCTACCTGAGTGCCATAATTACAATACTGAGGCCGATAATACTTTTTCATAAGGAAAAAGCATATGATCCCCCCCCCCACCCCGCCACCACCATCAATCAATGGGTAGTGGCAAAATTCTTCAGAGAGGCAAGCTTCTGGAAGGCTTATTACTTCCTAATTAATGTAAGTACTTGGATCGAATTATAATTATCCAGACTTTTAATATGACATGAAGAGTTGATTTAGGTTTTGGTATGGATATGAATTAAAATATCACAATTTTCTGGAATTTAAAAATAAGAATATTGATGCCATTTGTAGGATTATCGGATCAAACAATGCCAAGAATAGTCATTAAAAAAATTAACTGTAGGGTTTTTTGTTTATGTAGAGCACTGCTGCTCAGTTTTTATTGTCCACTTGTCATATTTTTCCAGTTTCATGTCAATCACAGGAAGTCACTCCAGCAAATTTCCTTTAAGCAATTTATCTTGTCACTAAGAACTTCATTCTTTGTTCTGTGCAAATTCTTTACAATTTAATTAAAATGTGAATTAACATATTTTCCAGGCAAGAGTTGAAAACTGGTCATTTTAGTAGTTGGCAGACAATACATAATTTTAATCCTTACTTTCAGTTTTGTAGCAGAATGATTGTCAACTCCAAACTAAAGTAAATTGCTTCAAAAACATATAATTAAGGCAATGATTAAGTGCTGTCTGAGAATTATGACTCCTGCAACCTGGGATTATTTGTATCCTTACACTGTAATTATGATTAAAAGAAGTTATTCTAAAAGACTTTTCTTTTGTTACAACTAAATATATCTGATCCTAGTGTATTAACTAAATCATATCTGCTTGGCTTACAGAACTGCAAAGCCAAAAGAGCTACAGGAGAATAAGCTGTATTCTATTTTGACTCATACATTATCAAAATTGTCAGGCAGCTTCTCAATCTTGAATCTTAACTATAGGTGATGATGGTAACATGCAGTGTAAAGCAGATTGATCACTACTTGATTCAACTGATCTTGCAGTTTGGACAGTGAGAAAAAAAAGTGTGTGGTTTTTTTTTCTTTGTAAAAAACAGCAAAGTTATATGAACATATCAGTGGAAAATAAACTGGAGACACAAAGATGCCATTTGTACAGTTATTTTCCACGTCATAACCACGGGTTATAATAACTTTATTAGCAGGTAATGTCATCTAGTTATTCACTAACTTTTCTTTTATGTAAGTAAAGGGTTAATTAAAAATGTGATCTCACAGGGAACCCACTTATATTCACCTCTACTACTACTTCCTGTCATCAGTCCCATCATGATTCTAGAATTCCTCCATCCTAAGGGAATGGCCCTTGGACAGGTGCCATAGCAATTCCCGATGTGACCTGTAGAATATTTTAGGGCTGTATAGACCAGCTGTATCACACACCGTTCTTGTGTAAAATCCTGGAATGGATATCTCAGTGAATGAGAAGTAGTATTATATAAAGACCATCTCATTCTCTTGCAGTCATTTTAGAAGAACTAAAAGAGGAAAAATGTTTTAACATTTTACAGGGAACCCGGGAGGAAGGATATGCAGATCCTGCTATGGGTGCTCAGGATGCAATGGTAACTACAATCACCTGTCAGTTTCTCAAAAATAACAGAAAACAAAAATGTAGCTGTTTGAAAGTCTTGTTTAAAGGGGTTTGGAACTGATGATCTTTTGCACCTTGTTATTATTTTAATGCCTTAGATCCTATGGGAAGCATGTCAGCAGAAAACAGGGGAACACAAAAACATGATGCAAATGATCCTGTGCAACAAGAGTTACCAGCAGTTGTGGATGGGTAATTATCATCACTTATGAATCTAACTACTCAGTACTTGAATGTATAATGGGAAAATATAGCTTACAGAGAAAACAGGCATAATTTTAACTATGCACACGGAAGCTGAATTCACAAACCAATATTCAGGTTCCAGTGCAGTCTGAAACAGGAGCCTGAGCCTACATTCTTTGTGCTCCCAAAACTCCAACTGAAGCTGAACCCAGCGTAGAATAGGTAGTGAAAAAAATGCATCATAGAGATGACAATTAAGGTGATGGGCTCAGTCTTCAGCTGCACTGTCCTCACCAGTGGTGCTGGAACTAGGAGTGCTGGGGGCGCTGCCACACCCCCTGGCTTGAAGTAGTAATAACAAACACCAAATATGTGGTTTCCATGGTCAGCACCCCCACTATAAAAATTGTTCCCGCACCCTTGGAGCTCACACTCAATTCATCTGGTGGGAGGGAGTCAAAAGTGCACTGAAGCCACCTTTCCACTTTTCCCAGTCTTGGGGGGCAGACAGGGGCAAATACTGCCCTCCCCCCCCCAAAAAAACCCAACCAAACAAGTAACAGCTGATTAATAGAGCTGGTTGGAACAGTTTTAATTAAACATATTTTTGTCAAAACGTGGTGTTCCATTTAAGCTGATACATTCTGCAGAAACATGTCAATGTTGACATTTTCTATGGGAAGGCTTCTGAGGTCAGTGCGGACTCCTCAGTTGCTCATGTGTATCGAGAGAGTGAGATGAATCGAAAACCTGACCTTTTCAGTCCAAAAATGGACATTTAGACACAATACCGTTTTGAGAAAACGTTCAAAACGTTTTGGTTTTGTTCCAGTGTGGAATGAAAACAAATCTCAAAATGGAATTGTCATTCTCCAGACAGCTCTATAGTATAAAGGGTGGACTAATTGACTTCAGCTTGTAATGCTCTCCTGGAGGTTATTACATCAACAAGGATAAGCAGGAACATACTCCTAACCCCAATCCACCTCATGGGGGGATGGGGGCAGGTGTTAGCATAGACCTGGCTATGCTATTCTCTACCCCTCACTCCATGCCAAGAAATTGACAGCTGCCCTTTTAGGGCAGCTTTCCAGCTGCTTTGCTCTGAGTATTGGGTTGAGAATCTGTACCAATCTCTTATTTTAGATTAAGTTTTACCTTGAGGTAATAGACATCTCAAAAGTAAACAGCAATAAAACTGCTGGAGCTAGTTTCTACTCTTAATACAGAATATAAATAAACATGTATTCATTTCTTTCAAGTTTTTCAGGAGTTCCAAAACATCTCTGGGCAAGATATAGTAGATGCTATTAATGAATGTTACGATGGATACTTTCAAGAACTGCTGGTAGCAATAGGTAAAATAAAACGATTATTTTACACTGGTAATAACTTCTTTATAATTATATAGTATAGTATATCTGGTCCATTAAAAGATGCAAATATAAGCTTTTTGTGCTATTTTCCCCACTAGTTAATTTTCATATATGATGTAGAAACTTTGAACATTTGGAAGAAAATCAACCAACAATCTAAGGGTATATAGAAGAAAGGGCATTTAAATTGCATCATAGGTTGAGGCTAAAAACTAAAATGTGGTCACCGGATTAGGGCTGAGGAGAACTGGATTCTGCTTCCGTTTTTGCTACAAACTTCCTGTGTGACCATGGGCAAGTCCATTAGGCACTAATCCTGCTCACACTGAAACAAATGGCAAAACTGCATGTCTTCAGTGGTGTAGGATCAAGCTTCTAAATTTTCTGTGCCTCAGTTTCCCCATCTGTAAAATGACGGTAATCATGGGCAATGCGTAACGGAGGCTGGAGGATGCTAAGCTTCCCCAAACCTCTGTTAATGCTCCCCACCACGGCCCTGGGGTCAGGCCATGGCAGGGCTCAGAGCTCCTCCAGGCGGCCAAGACTTGGGGCAGTTCAGGCGACTGGGCTGGAGATGGCTCGGGCATTCAGGCTGCGGCTCAGGGCAGCTCCGCTGGGCCAGCCAGGATCCATCTGGCTGTGGTGGGGGGTTTGGGGCTCCTCTGGCTCTGGCTGGGTGATGGAGTGCGGGGGGATGGAGTGGGGGCAGGGCCTCAAGCGGAATGGAAGGAGTAGAGGGCTAGGTTTCCTGAAGGGGGGTTCACACATCGCCCATTACAATAATAATACTTCCCTACCTCACAAAGATGTCATGTGGCTAAATTCATTAAGCTTGTGAGGCACTTATATAGTATGGTGATGAACACCATAAAAAACCCTATAAATAAATAGCAGATTATTATGACTGAAAAATAAAACCATATACTTAAACTACCAGCATCTTTAAGATGAGTCACAGGTAAAGTTGCCCTGTCTGCTGGGGGGGAGGCCCACAGCCAGTACAGAAACAGAGAGGCTTCTTGCAGTTGGCCTGAGATTAGAATTTTATAATCTGCAGCTTCAACGGGCAATTCCATAGGATTGAAAATTCTGTCACCTCCCACTGAATGAGTATTGTTAGGAAAACTTCTTGAGGAGCACCCCAGGTTTTTTCTAAGATAGAAGGGGCAGCCTGACCCACAGCCATGAACTGTGCAATGTGAGAAAGTTTCTATCAACTGGCATCAACTTGTTTCAGTTCAACCCAATAAGCAGCCTCAAGATCACATAAACACGCTGTTGATGCAGGTTTCTGAAATATAATGTTTCTCCTTTTCTCCATAACATATCTCTCCTAGTTCTCTGTGTTCGAGATAAACCTTCCTATTTTGCATATAGGCTTTACAATGCAATCCATGTAAGTAGCACTATTCTTTCACATATTTTTAAGAACAGCTTTACTGTCTCTATTTTGAATGATTTAGCTCATTTGCTTTAAAAGGGTTGGGGTTTTAATAACTTCCACTTTTAAAGTGTTGCTTGCTTGTTTTAAAAATTTTGGTAATGTTATCAATTTCAAAGCCATAGTGCTTGAACAACAGACGGGTTTTCTTCCAACACTACTTGTCCGGTAACTGCATTAACTTTTTGAAAACTGAAAACCATCATTTTGTATGGACTGCATCTCCCCCCGATGGGCAAAACTCAAAGTGCACGTTTTATTCAATATGATCTATTCTTATGTGACTTCCCGCTGTACCGCTTTAATAAATATCACTATGAATGGCATAATAGAAATACTGTGTGTGAAAATACTAATCGCCATATTTTCAATGGGACTCCACTAGGGAATCCTAGTATTTTTATGCACATTAGCTTAAAAAAATTAACATTGGGTACAAATTTAAGTATATGCATATGCACTCAGAAGTATCCACAAATACTGCATAGGGATAAAAATACCATGAATGTGTTTTTCTTTGTATTGTGTGCTGCTGATGTAAATTTATGTAAAGTATTCATGACAAAATTGAAAATATTCTGAATCTGAGCATTTTCATATTTTTTCAAATTCAAAATTGATTTCATTTTCACAAAATTGTTGTGCTAAACCAGGATCATTTTTGAGTGAAATGTGGCATTTTGTAATTATTTCTTATTTTCATAAGCAAAATAGATTTTTGAGAAAATACATTAAATAAAATTGCAGAAATTTTTAAAACAAAATTAAGTAAATTTCTCAGTTTCCTCCTAGTGTCTAGTGATTTATGTCAATGAAATGCTTAGTGAGATGGTATGCTGCTGATAGTAGGCGTTTTAAAGAATATTCCATTCCACAGTGCATTAGTCAATCAGATTTTGTCAAACTTTTGTCAGATTTCTATTTAGAATATTGCATGATTAGCATCAGTCTGTTAAGAAAGCTTCTAATATTAGAAGTATGATTTTTGTAAAATCTTTTTGTTAGAAAGATTTTAGTGCACCCACCAAATAAGAATCAAATCCTGTAAATGCAGCTTTCTGAGTATCCCTTGCTACTTTATTCTGGTAGTGTGAATAGCTAATGATAAATTCAACCTGCCACCTTTAAATAGACCAACATTTTGAATAAGTAAATATTTCCACTGCAACCTTCAAAATTGTTTGAATTAATGTTACTGTCCACTAGATGTCACCATTCCTCCAGAAGTGTCTGAAGGAGAGCACTGTCTAAGCTTGAAAGCTTGTCTCTCTCACCAACAGAAATTGGTCCAATAAAAGATATTATTGTGACGGGTTCAATCACAGAGACCCCCTTGGGACTGTCACCTGACATGCTGAAATTACCTCTGAGCTTGTTTTCCCTGTCAGCTTGGGACTCCAGAACCCTGCCCTGTTGAGACAGACAACACTAGTCTACTGCAACACAGAACCAGGTCTGAACCACGTCCCCAAAGCTGCAGGCTTTAACTGAAAACCACTCAGCAGGTCACCTCTTTCCAGCACCCAGACACCTAGCTCCCAATAGGATCCAAACCCCAAATAAATCCATTTTACTCTGTATAAAACTTTTACAGGGTAAACTCATAAATTGTCCGCCCTCTATAACACTGATAGAGAGATATGCACAGCTGTTTGCTCCCCCAGGTATTAATCACTTACTCTAGGTTCAATAATAAACAAAAGTGATTTTATTAACAAAAAAAAGTAGTATTTAAGTGGTTCCAAGTAATAACTGACAGACCAAAGTAAGTCACCAAGTAAAATAAAGCAAAAACACGCAAGTCTAAGCCTAATACATTAAGAAACTGAATACAGGTAAATCTCACCCTCAGAGATGTCCAATAAGCTACTTTCAAAGACAAGACTCCTTCTTAGTCTGGGCCCAATCCTTTCCCCTGCTACAGTTCTGTTAGCTCCAGCTCAGGTGGTAACTAGGGGACTTCTCATGACTGCAGCCCCCTTTTTTCTGTTCCACCCCCCTTCTATATCTTTGGCTCAAGAAGGAAATCCTTTGTCTCTCTCTGGGTTCCCACCCTTCCTTCTAAATGGAAAACCTCCAGGTTTAAGATGGATTCCAGTATCATGTGACATGTTCACATGTCTTGTAAGACTTCATTATTCACTGGCTAGTGCCCAGGTATACAGGAAGGCTTATAAGTAAACAGAGCCATTTACAACCAATTGTCCTAGTTGATAGGAGCCATCAAGATTCCAAGCCACCATTAATGGCCCACACTTTGCATAGTTACAATAGGACTTCAGAGTAATAATTTATATCTCTAGCTTCAGATACAAGAATGATACATTCATACAAATAGGATGAACATACTCAGTAAATTATAAGCTATGTAATGATACCTTGTAAAGAGACCTTTTGCATAAAGCATATTTCAGTTACATCATATTCACACTTATAAATATATTTCCATAAAACATATGGAGTGCAACATCACAATTATCTCACCTACCTTCTTTCTCACCATTCCTCCATGCAGAATCTATCTGAGAAATTGAACAGCTCACGTGATTCATGGTTGGATACAAAGCATTACAGTTCTAAACCTGTTTAGAATCAGATGGTTGTTCGGCAACCTATGTGAAAAAATATGGTGGTCTCAGTCTAGTCTTAAGTGGACAAATTGCACATAACAAAAGCCACCATCCCACCTGGCATTCTTGTTGGCAGTCAACAAAAAAGACTGACTGAGGCCCTGATTCAGCAAAGCACTTAAGCACACGCTTTAAAAAAAGTAGTAGTAAATACAACTGTCCATTAATAAGATAACACTTAAAGAAAAAATTTGAAGTGGCGTTTAATGTGCAGATTTTGTTATCTCAATTACACAGTAATATGAAATGCACTATTCATACATGAGAAAGCTCAGTATAGTAAAACCTCTGTACACCTCAAACTTCTCTCAGATCCAGAATATATACCTAGATGGCCTAATCAATTTACTCATTTGCACATAATATTAATATATTCAGATAGATAGACTCATCCAAGTTTCCTCATATCTTTCTCGTCTTTTAGGAGTATGGTTTCCATAATAAAACTGTTATCAGGATTTTGATTGCCAGAAGTGAAATAGATCTGATGAATATAAGACGACGATACAAAGAGAGATATGGGAAATCTCTGTTTCATGATATCAAAGTAAGTCACTCTATACTTTTGCATGTATACAGTACCTAGTTCAATAGCAGAGTTTCATATATCCATATGAGAGCTTTAACAATAGCAAATGTTGAGTTAATTCTGAATCCTAATCTAATCATTTGATGCAAAGGCAGAAGTAACAATATGCTTCCTGAACTCATGTTACATCAGTTCAGTGCCTCTGACTACTTTCAGTAAGTGAACAATAAAGATGAGATAATATTTCCCACTAAATTCTAATCACACTTTCATATTATAGGCCGGATTCTGTCCCGCCCCCGGGACAGAACTGCCTGCTGGGGAAATACTTTGTAAAAGGTGTTCCCCTACTGGTGTAGAATGTGTGGAGCAGCTCTGTGGTCTTCCTGCATAATCCCCTGATGTGAGGTTGTGCCCAGAGTCAATTTGGAGAGGGAGGTGGTATGGCCAGAGCACCCTCTCCTCTGGATATTCTGGGCTGTGGAGCAACCCATAGGTGGTCATTTAAGCTTACTGGAGTGATGTAAAATGACCTTTGCAGTTCCCTTGCCTGTGCTATGCTTCTTTTGTTAATCATGTGGCAAAACTAATCTTGGCTTAAAATATTCAGGTGTCCTTGGCACATCCACCATGAAGCACAGTACCAGCACCATGCACTACTTGGGAGCATTTTAAATGTATGTTTATTATTTAGCTTCATCACATCCACCTTAAAACAGTGCTTCACCACCCCCAAGGCCTCTCTTTCATTTAGCACTCTTTTATTAATCTAATTAAAGCTGATCCTGCAATCAGTTTGTCCTTGATCAGCATGAACTTGTTTCCATCTTTAACCTTATAAACTTATTGTTATAGAGCTAGATTTTCACTTCCTAGTGCATCTGTTTCCTCTATAAACAAACAAAACCCTGCATTACTGGGTACTCATACTACTGGGAAAAATTATAATAAACATTTAAAATGAATCTGATGCCAGTCCCACTGAAGTTTTGCCATTAACCTCAATAAAAGCATAGCGGGTTCTGTGTCTGCAGGATCTGGTCTTTTATTCTGAGTTATTTTCTTGGAAACATGATCACCCAGATTTTTATTTGATTTACAGTGATGTAGATCCAGAGTATCTCCACTGACTTCAATTCATGGGAGTCAGTGGAGATACTCTGGCTTTACATCAGTGTAAGAGAAATCAAAATCTGTCCTACTGAGTGTGTTGGGTTTTTTTACATAGCAACCATCATAAGGATATATTTTTCTTGTACTGTCAGTCCCATATCTCCAGACAAGCATGAACTGTATTGTTAAATTCTTGTAAAATGATTCAGTACAGTAAAAACCTTTCCAATGTTTTTATGATGTTTTTTATGTTTTATCAGAAAATATCTAGGGCAAAGATTTTCAAAACTGATCAATGAATTTTCAGTGCCCAATTTCAGATACATTAAAAGGACCTGATTTTCAGAAAGAGCTGAGCAGCCACCTTCTGAAAATCAGACCTTGTAGGTGACTCAGGTTGCCCACACACACCCCTCTCAAAAATGAGAGATCCAAAATTACTAATCACTTTTGAAAATCTTGGTCTAGAATCTTTATGAAGCATTGAAAGTCTTGGGCAAAACCCACAACTTCTCAAATGTCCTCTAGTCCCTAATGCACAAAAATGGTTTTCTTGGCTGGGCGAGAGGAAAAATTATCATCACAAAAAGATTCTTTCCCTTGCAGCATTTTGCTTCAGGACATTATGAGACAGCTTTACTTGCCATCTGTGCTGGTGATGCTGAAGATTATTAAAGGAAGAAGATAATGAATTTTGAAAGCTGTATGGCTCCATTTTTAATAGAAATCCAAGCCAGCCACATTTCCTATAACTATTAGTTATTCCTGCTCTATATAAAAAAGTGGACGAATCAATGCTAGATATTTTCTAACTTTAAATCTTTTTGAAAACAAGACAAATGTACAAACTTGTTTTGTCAGGAATATGATTTTTCCCAACTTGTGAAGAAATGCTGTTACTGTGAAATACATTATCTAATGTAAAACTAATACAATTCTATTTAACTAAAATGTATGTGTATTATTTTGCCTTATGATGGGGTTTACAGACCCCACGTCAAGGGAATGATGGAGCAGTACTGGAACAAGAAGGCCCTGCTCCTCCACAGCTTCAAATCATGCTTCCAATGGAGGACCTGTTTAAAAAGGGACATTGACAATCAGGGGGAGGGAGAGAGTAGAGAGGCTGTCTGCAGGAAGGAAACAAACAAGGCAGTTTATAGCAATAGCTTCTGGGACAGAGGATCCATAGGGGTAGGGTGGACTATGGGTAAGACTAGTGTGGGTAAGACCTGACTGGGAGACCAGGGTACTGACTGCTTTTCTCTCCTCTTTTCCCTGACGAGGGGGAATAACTGGACACTAAAAAGCAAGCTGGGAAGTCCCAAATGACTATCTGAATTGTTGAGGCTGTTTGAGCAACCCTCTGCTGGGATGAAAGCAGTGTGAGACCATGCCCCAAACTGAAGAGAGAACAGGAGAGGCTAGTCTAGTGTACCTACAAAAAGGAACTGAGACACACTTCACCCTTTCCCCTTTGGGCCCTGAGCCAGGACCTGCTGTAAAGAGAGACCCTGGGTCCCCCTATTCTTCCCTTCCCTTTTGTCAAACCGGGAGAACCTGGGGAATACTGGGAGATGACTGACTGTAACTTGGCCACCAGCCCCTCAGCTTGCCTGGCAAGGCCATCCCAGGACTTTGAGGACTTTCAAGCCATTGCCTGCCAGCCCCCAAGCACAGTTGCCAATTTTCACATGGTAAATAAGCACCCCGACTTTCACAATAAGTCAAAAATCAAGCTAATCCCATTTCAAAACAAGGCCAAACCAAGCCAAACCCTAACCCTCTATGTACTAGATTCCCCCCAGATTGCAGTCTGGGACTGTGGTGAGCCCACTGTGCACCCCTGACTCTCTCCCCACCTTGCCCCTGCTTGTTGGGAGCTGATCAAAAAAAAAGAAGCAACAAGCTACAAGCCAAAAACTAGCCAACAAGCAACTCACAAGCCAATTAAGCCAAAAACAAGCCCAATTTCTGCATTTTTTCCACGGGTTTGACATGTCTGGGGTACAGGTATCTGGGCAAGGAGGGGCCCCCACAGCTGGGCTCTGGGAACAAGGGGGCAGAGAAGCAGGAACTGGGTTGTTGTAGGGGTTTCTTTAACTCTCTACTCCTGGGGGAAATTTTGTGTGTTTGTATTGTTACAGACATACTTGCTGACAGGTATTCTGAAATAAATTACCCAAATAATTGAAACTGCTTTGATTATGTAGGGTTATTTTGACAAATTTTGCAGAATTTTAAAATATTGTGTGCAGAATTTTTAATTTTTGGTCAGAATTTTTAATTTAGGGACATGGAATTTTCCCAAGAGTATTCTTGTCCAGTAAGGTACTATTCAGCAAACATACAGGTGGAATAATCTGAGCCTAAATCACTTTGGCCCCAATTCAGGAAAGCACTTAAGCACACGAGTAATCCCTTAAGCACACATGCTTAAGTGCTTTGCTGAATCAGGGCCATTGAACATTTAAATGGTAAATTGCTCTTTTGGCTTTCCACTTCTTATTCTTTTATATATCCTTGTTATTCCTCTCCGGGCTTCATCACTCCAGCATTTGGACTGCTATGAGGTAATGCTATAAGCAAAACCAGGTGTGATTGAAGGAAGACAAAGAACAAAGAAAAATATTCAGATTGATTTTAAATAAATATTTTGTAAGCTGGCATACTGTATTCTAGGTATGAATTATTCTAAGCATTTTGGGGCCAGGGCAGGTTTTATTTTATTTATTTGTTTGCATAGCACCTAGCACAGGGGTGGCCAACACGTGGCTATGGAGCCACATGTGGCTCTTCAGAAGTTAATATGCGGCTCCTTGTATAGGCACCGACTCCAGAGCTGGTGCTACAGGTGCCAACTTTCCAATGTCCCGGGGGCGGGGGGGTGCTCACTGCTCAACCCTTGGGCTCTGCCACAGGCCCTGCACCCACTCCATCCCTTCTCACCCCCTCCCCTGAGCCTGCCATGCCCTTGCTCCTCCCTCTCCCGTCCCAGAGCCTCCTGCATGCCATGAAACAGCTGATCAGCAGGGCTGCAGGTGGGTGGGAGGCACTGGGAGCGGGGGAGGGAGCAGGGGGAGCTGATGGAGGGCTGCTGATGTATTACCATGGTTCTTTGGCAATGTACATTGGTAAATTCTGGCTCCTTCTCGGGCTCAGATTGGCCACCCCTGACCTAGCACAATAGGTGGGTCTGGGGGAAAAAAAAGCAAATCTGGTGAACAGGAGAGGTGGCCCCTACAGACAGGGCCGGTGCAAGCACTAGCGAACTAGGCAGTGGCCTAGGGCGGTGAGTGGTTGGGGGCACCCGGGTCAGTCCTCAGGCATAGGCAGCTGGGTAGGGCACCTGAAAATTTGTGGCACCACTGGGTCTTAGTGTCCACCCTACTGGTTTTCCTATCCCTGTTCTGACCCTTCCTGCAGACTCTGAGGGTATGTCTACACTACGAAATTAGGTCGAATTTATGGAAGCCGGTTTTATAGAAATCGGTTGTATACAGCCGATTGTGTGTGTCCCCACATAAAATGCTCTAAGTGCTCTAGTCGGCGGACCGCATCCACAGTACCGAGGCTAGCGTCGACTTTCGGAGCGTTGCACTGTGGGTAGCTATCCCACAGTTCCCACAGTCTCTGCCGCCCATTGGAATTCTGGGTTGAGATCCCAATGCCCGGATGATGCAAAACAGTGTCGCGGGA